ATTCCACTGTACAACTTATACCAGAAGGAACCCATTTCCCTACATTCTACTGTATAACTTATATAGGAAGGAACCCATTTCCCTACATTCCACTGCACAACTTATATAGGAAGTAACCCATTTCCCTACATTCCACTGTACAACTTATATAGGAAGTAATCCATTTCCCTACATTCCACTGTACAACTTATACCAGAAGGAACCCATTTCCCTACATTCCACTGCACAACTTATATAGGAAGGAACCCATTTCCCTACATTCCACTGCACAACTTATATAGGAAGTAACCCATTTCCCTACATTCCACTGTACAACTTATACCAGAAAGAATCCATTTCCCTACATTCTACTTTACAATTATTACACTAGAAATATCCCATACTTATATCTTATTTTTCTCTTTCTATTTTACTGTACAAGTGTTACTTATGAATTAATCAGTTTTTTCTATTTTACTGCTCAATACTTACAAAAGAATTTACCCCATTTTAGGTTGGAAAAGAAATTGCACAAGCTGAGAGAGCCATTCGCAACCTCAAACGTGCAATCCTAGAAAAAGAAGCCCCATTAAAGGTGGCACAGACTCGTCTTCATCACAGATGGCAACGCCCTAATGTGGAATTATGTAATGATCCTCCACATAACAGGTGAAGTTCTTTCTTTACACAACTGAAACAGAAAATTATCAGAAGTAAGGAAAACCTTTGAAATATGGCTCATTTTTAAAAGAGATTACACGTATAACGCTCTAAATGTATGATAATTTAGTGGTCCAGTTATTGAAGGAACAACTGCTGTTTGTAATTGAGGGCAAAGTCAATTTCTGCGTGTAAAAAATTACTCCAACAGCGTGATAATTAATGGTCCAGTGATGAAAAAAATAACTGCATAACACTGTGTCTTTGTCGATGAGGTAAATGTTTTCATTCGATAAAGTAACAAGTGACCATTTAATTCAGTTAGTTAACAACATAGTAAAGTAAGTATTGAATTAGGTTCCCTTTTTTTAAACTGTATCTTAACTATAATTACTTCATGTAACTTTATACTTACCTAACAGTGTTCAAACGTTGCATTGTTCAACTAATGTAGTTTTTTAAATCCAACATATTTACCTTTAAAGAAACTTCAAAATTAATCATTGATTATTTTGAGGGAAAATATTAATATCACATGTATTTATTGATATGAGTTAAGTCTTGGATTTTTTTTAGTTTTCTTTTGTGAATGATGGTACACCTTTCTTAAAGAATTATATCATGAAAGAGAACTAGTTTGAAATATAGTACAGTGTTAATAACTTCTCCACTGATAAACCAAAAAGCTCTATTTTTAAATAGATGATTTAATATCTGAAACTGTGGGATTTATAAGGTTACACTGAAATATGTACAAATATTATGTAAACCTTCATTTGTATCAACTTATTAATCAGGAAATCACTCTCTTCTAGTTGAAATACAGTTTTATTACACCGAAGTTTTAAATATGTTCAGGCTTTGTTATTTTATAGTAAATATACCTCTTTGATTACATGTTTTTAGTTTTGTCGCATGAATATGACGAATGAAAATTTGTTTTAGTTGATGTAGAATGAATCAACTTTCTCACTTAGGAGAGTGTAACCTCTGGTATTTTGGAGACAACATTTTAAATGTTCATAAGTTGCTTTTGAAAGTCCTTGCTTTGATATCAAAACTACGGCAGGTGAATGAAATGTATTATTCTATATTAGAGTCAGAGTTATTGTTCCCAACCTGTTAACTAAGATATGAAATTAATTTGCTTTTAGCTTGATTAGAGAAGTCAGCGAGATCACAACCACTATAGAGACACTGAAACACCATCTGAAGAGGGCAGAGGACGGTCTTCAGAATCTCCAGGAAACAAAAAAAGGATTGGAAGAGGAGATTTCTATTAAAGAAAACAGCCTGAAAATTGATAGAGAAAGATGTGCGGCTGTACGCACATGCTATCCACCCATTAACAAACTGTTAGGTTATTAAACAACCAGGTGTAATGGTCATTTTCATCACATGATATAAGCCACAAACCATATATATGTCTTCATTAACACAGAATAAATATACCAATGAAAAGATTGGAGAGAAAAAAATCATGTTTCTAGAAATATTTCATTGCACATTTCATAGTTATGTAGTTTCTTTCATTGCACCTGAACTTGAAACCGACTGTTTGATAAAACATCATAATAAATTGATATTACACAATCTAATTATTTTTGTTTTAGAACGTTATCAGTCAGAGTACAGTGGATGTTCCATTTCACTCTTTCCATTCCTCATGAAACTGTATTTGTTTCTTTGAAACTTTGCTGGATCTGTCTGTCATTGTTATATAGAAATAAAACCAAAAATTTTAATAAAACGAAGTTAAATCAAATCAGTCAGAGTACAGTGGATGTTCCATTTCACACTTTCCATTCCTCATGAAACTGTATTTGTTTCTTTGAAACCTTGCTGGATCTGTCTGTCATTGTTATATAGAAATAAAAGCAAAAATTTTAATAAAACGAAGTTAAATCAAATCAGTCAGAATACAGTGGATGTTCCATTTCACACTTTCCATTCCTCATGAAACTGTATTTGTTTCTTTGAAACCTTGCTGGATCTGTCTGTCATTGTTATATAGAAATAAAACCAAAAATTTTAATAAAACGAAGTTAAATCAAATCTGATATTGTAACAAGCCAAGATACTGTTCTCCATAATTATCAGTTCTGTAGTCAGCTAGATTACCCTAAATATATCAAACAGGTTTTTATATTTATCATTTTTGTAAATGTTCAGAAACTCAGTATCTGTTGTCATGGTGACTTGGTTAAATTTCTTCATGCAACTTCAAAGTTTAATACAACGAAACTATAAACAGAAAGTTAACACTGAATGTAAAAAGTGTTGTGTACCATTTCTAAATCTAGTAATGCTTTAGTCTTTTACTTTATGGCAAATATTTTGAATTTCAATGTGTTCTTAACTGAATGGACAGTAGATGTAGGTCGGTATGGAGGGTTAGTTGCACTTTTATAAAATCAGTATTCTAGGTCTCATTCTGTTCTTTGGTCATCATTATACTCAGCCTGACAGCCTTGGTTAAGAACTGTTGCCTAAAACTGTAACAAGTGTCACATCTACATAGTTAACCTTGGAAGAGATATCTTAAAAAATTTTACACAGGTCATCCTGTGTACATGAATATAAAATTCCAAGACCATGTTTAAGCAGCTCAAAGACACAAAAGTCCATTGGAACTGCACTGAGGGACATGACAGGTATGTGGTCAAGTAGAATTGCTTTGATTTCAGTTTTATCAATCTTCTTTCTCTTGATACTGGAAGCTTTTGTAACTGGAAGCTTTTGACTCGTGAGTTATTGTCAGTTTAAGACCCTTGTTTATTATCTTGTTTACAGTAGCAGGAGATATGCCAAGCTTCATTACAATAGATTTCTTTTGGATCAGGATTAAGACCCTTGTTTATTATCTTGTTTACAGTAGCAGGAGATATGCCAAGCTTCATTACAATGGATTTCTTTTGGATCAGAAGATTCCCTTTCTGAATTGATTTGGGGTGTGGTTGCAGATAACGTAGATCTTTTAACTATTTAAATACTCTGCTATGTACGTTCTTTTCCTTCCACATAGAAAATTTAATACCCCTTTCTCCAAAATGCTGTATCCCTTGGCTCTACATCATTTAAAAATATTGCTATGTGCAAATCATCTCTGGTCTGTAACATATTTCTTCAGCCATATGTTATCCTTAATGTCATTGGAAATATGTCCTTACTAAACATTTCACCTGTGATGCCACTGTACCAGCACATGCAAATCAATCATAAAACATGCAGTTACCTCTCTGTACCTAATTGTTCTTTCATCCTAAGTTATATTTTTGCTATTTCTAATATATATTGTCCTTCAAATTTTCCAGCGAACTATAGTTGTGAGATGATTATGAAGGTTTTGAAATCCTATTCTACCAGTAGGATATGAACTACAGCATATCTACTAAACTAGTATGGCCTTAGATGTTATTTGAACAGAGACAGTGGAAAATAGAAAGACTTCAATTTTAATTCTTCTTATGTAAAACAATTTAATTATTTACATCTGGTTGAACTATAAGTCCATTTTTGAAAGAATGAGGGATCCGGACGTAAGCATGAGATAGGGAAGAGAAGCTTTACAAGGAGGAGGTCAAAACATCAGCAAATGATGAAAAATGTATAGAGTTCACAGAATGACATTATACAGAGAGAATTCAAATAAAATAATTAAGCTCTTTAAACAGCTTTGTAATTTGAATAGGTGGATAAAGATACATGTTGAATCCTTATGGCCATTCAGAGTCAAACATGTGAGGTGATTTGTGAAATAGTGCCAACTGCTTAGGACTAACACTAAACTCAAGAATCTTATGTATGTGTATAAATGGCATGGGATTGATCCCACAGCTAGCAAGCTAGGGCAATAGATTTTCAAAGATACTTACTTTTAAGTTAACCTTGCCAACACCATTATCTAAAGGCATGGAGATGACCTCAAATGCTCTTGTTGAAGCAACATTTAGTGTTGTGGATGAGGTTACATGCAGGTCAGAAGTACAGTGATTATGGTAACTAACTAACAGTTAGAAATCAGAGATGCATAATGAAGGTAAAAAGGCAACATATTCAGAACATAAAATTGCTAGGAAGAATGTATATCAATTATAGAAGGGCCTTCAAATCCTGAAATATAGTTGATAGTGGCAGAGTCAATCTTCAATATGTATTGATAGTAAGAGGAAGGCCAAATACATGCAGAGATCATATACTGATTGTAGGGGAGGGCCAAATACATGCAGAGATTATGTACTGATAGTAGAGGAGGGTCAAATACCTGCATATGTCATATAATGATACTAGGGGAGGCCCAAATACTTGTTGAGGTCATGTACTGTGTTAGATATACACGACTCTCATTTAAGTTTAAAGGAGTGTTATGATTTAGATAGTTATAAAGCATGAGTGTTAATTTTAGTATTTTAAGAAATGATAACATATCACAGGTTTGCTTATGTAATTGTTTACGAACATTTATTGTGTAGTTCAGTTGCTGTGAATTAACATCACATTACTCGAACTTCCGGAAAATGTCTCGTTGCTTTAAGTGAGTATTGTTACATCATAACATCTTGTATTTTGTAAAACATTTTAGGACTCAGTCGGGCAACATATTTATATATAGCTTTTTAATGAGCAATTTCTAAAGTAAATTTCACAGCTTGTATTGTAATAACAGAGATAGAGGAGATTAATTTTTCTTGTCAAAGAATATTCTAAAGTAATTGAACCCACCTGTATGGATATTGATGCAAAAGAGACAATTATTTAAAGCTCTGGGTACAACTGTGATAGCCAATAGTGTAACGAATTTTTGTACATACATTTGACTTGTTTTGAATATATTATTTTAAGACAAGTGGATTGTATATGCTGCTTGTTTACTGTTCACATTTATCACCAACATGTTGCAGACACCTAATGTAAAGAATCTGGCCCTATAAAACCTGAAATTTGGCGAACCAACCAGGATTATAAAGTGGTAAACAGTGGTATAAAAAGACATAAACAACAGCAGAAATAGGCCTATATATGTGCAACTTTAGTGGGGCAAAAATGGTGTAGTGATTACAATCACACTATATAACCATATTGACTGATTTTGATAAATGGATTGAAAGAGGTGAGTGAGTTGGGCTAAAAGATAGTGATCTACTGTTAAACAACAACAAAATCTAGAGAGAGAAGAGCATAGGCAAAAAAAAAGAGAGGAAAAAAGATTAAAAGAAGAAAAGGAGAGACTGGAAATAGAGAGAATAAGAGTACAAATTGAGATGGCAAAGCTCACCAAACAGAAAGATGTCAGGGCCATCTAACCCAAGCTGCCCAAATTTGATGAACAGAAAAACGACATGGATGATTTCCTGGAGAGATATGAAAGATGTGCCCAAAGTCAGAACTGATACAAAGGCGACTGGTAGTCTGTCTCAGCCCACTTCTAACAAAAAAAGGCCTACAAATCTATGCAGGCATGACATCAGAAGATGACATGGATTATGACATGTTAAAAGTGGCCTTACTGAAATGTTATGTACTTACCAAAGAAGGTTTTCGTTGGAAGTTCAGAGAAGTCAAACCTGACACTGGTAAAACTGTATTTCATTTTTGGGGGCACATATATTGTGATACTTCACAAGGTGGACTGACATGGCCAAGTGTGAAAATATTCTGATGGACTGTCAGGTCTGCTAATACGTGAACAGTTCATGATCACGTGCTCAACTGATATGCCACTGTTCCTAAAGGAGAGAGCACCAAAAACACGTGAACGAGATGATCAAGCTAGCAGAGCAGTATTTGGAAGTCCATGGAGGGAGTAACTAGAAAATCCAAGAACACCAGTTAAAGTTGAAATAAGGAGTGGCTGACTAGAAACAGGATATAACCAATGGTGACAAGAAATTAACAGATGGGAAAAAAGATGTTATATTTGTTATAAAATAGGGCACATTGCAAAGGAGTGCAAGTCCATCACCAACAAGCAACAGCAGAAATCTCAACAGAAAGCAAAGAGATGCTATGCTTGTTATAAAATGGGGCACACTGGGGGAAAGTGCAAGTCTGTCACCAATAAACAGCAGCAGGAATCTCAACATATAGCAGCTGAAGCTACACATAAAGATGGTGCTAGCAAGAAATAAGAAAAGAGGAACTATCAGCAAGGATGCTGCTGCCAGAAGAAACAGGATAAGATACAACACGTTAGATTCACCACAGAAAGGAAGTGCTATATCAATGGTTAAGTAGTGCATAATAGATGGTCAGCTCAAGTTAGTAAACAGGTCAACACTACTAGTGATGACTGGAGCATGCGAGATACATCAAGAAGTGCCAATAAATCACAACATGCCAGTAGATGAAGGCTATGCCAGGGACAAGAAAGTGAAGGTCTTACAAGACACTGGGTGCAGCAGTGGGAAACAGTCTAGTACCTGATGACCAGATGATGGGCAAGGTACATTTGTGTGTGCTGATTGATGGGATAGTGAGAAAGTTTCTCATAGCAAGTATAAAGGTGGACACTCCATACTACATGGGAGACCCCTGGGGCCCTGTGCATGAAGGCACCCATCTATGACTTGATGATTGGAAATATACCAGGCAATAGAATTTTGAAGGAATCAGACAGAAAGAAGACTGACAAAGCATCTGCAGTCACCACTAGAGCTAAAGAAAAGAAAAGCAAGGCCCTGCAAGTCTCGAAAGGTGACATCTCGAATTTAGGTTTACGGGAACTGAAGGAAGCACAGACGAAAGACCCTTCACTTCAGAAACTTTGGG